ACTTCACTTCAGCAAACAACGAGTGTCAGTAGTGGAGAAGGAACCGCTTATCTCCCCTCAGCAAACGAGAAGTTCCACTAGTGAAGCAGGAAGCGCATATCTCCCCTGAGCAAACAGGAAAGCCACTAGTGGAGCATGAACCACTTACCTCCTTTCAGCAGACAACGAGTACCACTAGTAGACCAGGAATTGCTAATCTCCGCTCAGCAAACAACGACTCCCACTAGTTTAGCAGGAACCGCTTACCTCTCATTAGCAAAGAAGAAGTGTCACTAATGGAGCAGGAACCGTCACCTTCCCTCAGCATACAAGGAGTGCCACTAGTGGAAAAGGAACTGCTTATCACCCCTCAGCAAACAACGAGTGTCACTAGTGGAGAAGGAACCGTTTACCTCCCTTAAAAAAACAACGAGTGCCACTTGTGGAACAGGAACCGCTTACCTCCCCTCAGCAAACAACGAGTGTCATTAGTGGAACAGGAACCGCTTACCTCCCCTCAGCAAACAATGAGTGCCACTAGTGGAGCAGGAACCGCTAACCTCCCTTCATCAAACAAGGAGATTCACTAGTAGAGCAGGAACCGCTTACCTCCCATCAGCAAGCAGCAACAAGTGGAGCAGAAACCGCTTCCTTTTTTTCAGCAATTAACGAGTTTCACTAGTGGAAGAGGAACCGCTTACCTCCCCTCAGCAAACAAGGAGTGTCACTAGTGGACCAGGAACCGCTTACTTCACTTCAGCAAACAACGAGTGTCAGTAGTGGAGAAGGAACCGCTTATCTCCCCTCAGCAAACGAGAAGTTCCACTAGTGAAGCAGGAACCGCATATCTCCCCTGAGCAAACAGGAAAGCCACTAGTAGAGCAGGAACCACTTACCTCCTTTCAGCAGACAACGAGTACAACTAGTAGACCAGGAACTGCTTATGTCCGCTCAGCAAACAACGACTCCCACTAGTTTAGCAGGAACCGCTTACCTCTCATTAGCAAAGAAGAAGTGTCACTAATGGAGCAGGAACCGTCACCTTCTCTCAGCATACAAGGAGTGCCACTAGTGGAACAGGAACTGCTTATCACCCCTCAGCAAACAACGAGTGTCACTAGTGGAGAAGGAACCGCTTACCTCCCCTCAGAAAACAACAAGTGGCACTAGTAGAGCAGGAACCGCTTACCTCCCCTCAAAAAAGAGGGAGTGCCACTAGTGCAACAGGATCCGCTTAACTCTCCTCAACAAACAACGAGTGCCACTAGTGGAGCAGAAACTGATTACCTCTCGTCAGCAAACCAGGAGTACCACTAGTGGAGCAGGAACCGCTTATCTCCCGTCAGTAAACAGCAAGTGCCACTAGTGGAGGAGGAAGCGCTTACATCCACTCAGCAAACAAGGAGTGCAACTATTTGAGCAAGAACGGCTTACCTCCACTCAGCAAACAACGAGTGCCACTAGTGCATCAGAAACCGCTTACCTCCCCTCAGCAAACCACGAGTGTCATAGTCGACCAAAAGGTAAGTTTTTTTTCCTTCTTGGGCATGGTTGAAGAGTAGTACCTACTGTCTTTAATGTTAATTTGTTCTCGTCTGAACTTGAAATAGTGTGCCACTGGACGTTAAGCAACAAGCAATCAATGATTTACGTATGTGCCACATTGTATTATTGTTTATTTGTGTGTCGATGAGTTATCATGTACATGACACATCTGTTTTTATTATATTTTTCGCTAAAATACTGTGCCATTGATTTATATGATACATCCTATGTTAGGATATGTCTCGTTAACCTATTCCACATTTGTTTATATTCTTTGGAGTTATGTTTGATTGAAGTATATGCCGCATCTGTCTTTAGTGATTGTGTTGTAAAGGTTGTATTTCATATGCCATAACTTTTTTTATTATCTGTGTCGTAAGGGAATAGTCTCATTGACGTTTATGCCACATCTTTCTTTAGTGATTTTTTCGATAAGGTTGTATCACATATGCCGAACCTGTTTACTATCTGCGTCGTTAGGGTATAGTCTCATTGACGTTTATGCCACAGCTTTTTTTTCCATTTGAGTACTGTGTCCTTGGCGAATATGACACACCTTTTTTGTTTCTTTGTGTCGTTTGGTTACTGTCTCATCTTTTCTATGTTTAATGTCCTTGGGAGTACTGCATCATTAACTTAAATTATTTGCGCCGTTTTTTCGTTTTCGTTTGTGTATGGTGTCATTGACCTTTACCACTTGAGCTTTCTTTCCTTTGCCGTCATTTTCGTTAGGACGTGAAATATTAATGGTTGGTTCCATAACGTACAGTGACAAAATTTAATTGTGCTGTTGCAAAAATCTCCCTCATATTGAGGACAAGACGAATAAAAAATTAATGTAATACGTACATTGAAGTTTACAGGAATAAACTGGAGGTGGGGTGGGGTGGGGTTGTTGTTGATGTTACTTTGGGGGATATAAACTGAAGAATAAAAGTGACACATTACAATTTAAAAGCTATTATATTTTTCTAAACATCAGCATAGAATCGTTTTATTTAGAGAACAGATTCAGATAAAGGATAAAACATATAATTCAAATCTAAATAATAATCTTTATTGCAAAAACTCAAATTTCTTGCATTATATGTTCATAAGAAGCATACAACACATAAAAAAACTTCTAAACGAGTCAAGTTAACAATATGTACATACAACTACTTTTGTGGGTTTACAAAAATGGTCTGAAACATATTTTGAGTGTTCACCAACCATCACAGCACAACCGGCAAATAGAATAAACCAAGATCATGTCTTTGGCCTTAGCAAAATTTGCCGCAAAATTTAATATAAAGCTGTTTTGTTGTCACACATAAATGTTGCGGTGACATTATACTAGTCAAAAAAAGTAACGATACACAAGTTTGAACTCAAATTTATCATAAAATATAATAAATAGGAAAAACTGCTAAATAATCCACTAAAAAACATTCATTTTCCAATATGATTAAAAGAATCTGACCAATATGGAAAGTGAGAAAATACCGTGTAATTGAACAACGGGGTCAAATTTTTAGCGGAAAATGATAACAAAAGTCGGCACTTACTTTCGAAGAGGAGAATTAAGTATTCAAATATCTGCAAAGGCATTCGAAATTTTAAGTAGACCTTGTTTAAGTGCAAAGTTTTAAGTTCTAATATCGATTTTAGAATTTTTGGGTGAAAATACGATTTCTGAAATAACAAAAATTTCAAAAAAAACATTTCGAGTTTTTGCCTAAAATTAATGGTTTTGATAAGAAAATAAGACTCTGTAAATATTAGACCAATTGGGCAATTATTTACCTTGGTACAGTGTATCAAATATTATTATATATGGAAAATACTTTGGCTTGTATCGTTTCTTTTGTTGACTAGGGGATATAATACATACACATAAAAATGTATCTAATTAAAATCGGAATACAGAATATCTTATATAGAACTTATAAGAAAGCAAGGTAGTAATTATGTAAAATAAATCACAATTAATTAATGTTGAATATGTATTCGGTAGATAACACACATACAAATAAAATCCATTTAGAATGACTGAATGCAAAAACAAATCTAAATTCAAATACACTAATTTAAGTTCATTTATGCAAGTTTCTTTATCACGTAAAAAAAAAGACTTTCCGTTATCTTTTATTTAGATGAGAACGCCTGATAATATTTTCCTGGATAACATCTTTCTCATAAGAGTATGAATTATATATAAAAGATAAGAACATGTACATTGATTCTTACTCAGAAAGTTTTTGATTTTCCATATTGAAATATATAGGACAAATGATGTTCAAATGTTTTTAAAATGCCGAAAAATTAATATTCAAACGACAATCACCAAATACAACTGCCGAAGAAGATTCAAGTTACATTTTCAAAACAATTATAATCTTTCCGTTATTTTGTTTTCAACGACATTTTATCAAGACGTTGGACAGAAAGTTATTGGAACACAGTCATATCAGTCTGTATGGTGTTAGACCATGTGTTATTTGTACTGTATCAACATCAAATTTGTAAAACCTTTCATCAAATGAGGAAATAAACACACGGATAAACTGAAGATATGTCATATAGTTTGGTATGAATAGAAGAATTAATTGGTTGATCTGTTGGTTGTGTATCGTCCAGTGGCAAATATATCAGGCATATTCAGGATGAGAACAAATTAAAAATGCATATATCAGAATTATTTGTATATAAAATGTACATGCAAGTCTACCGGGATGAAAGAAATTATTTGGCAAATGAAGGGAAAAAGAAGTACCAGTCAATGAGACAGCAACCCAACGACACAAAACAATGTATAATGTGTTCCGATTTTATTTACCAATTTTATTTACAAACAACACATCCGTAAAGAATGCCTTTATTTTGAGACAAAAATGTATTGAGGACATACATATGACTTAAATTAAAATTTCCTCTTAAACAATTTATATATGGTTTAAAAAGATATAATGAAATATAACTTGAATTTGTTTTTTTTCTCCAACTATCAAACATTAAGTGGACGTGAATCAAAGAAAAGCACGTCTTTGTAATATTTCTCTAAATTTCCACCCCCCAAGGGTGACTGGGGAATAGAAGTATGGTCACCATTGGTCTTCCTCCGACCGGCAGTAAAACCCGTGCTAAAGTGGGGCGTCCGTTTGGCTGTGCGGGATGTACAAATTTGCAGCCACGTCCGGTCAGAATGGGGACGTTAAATCCGATGCCTCGTGTAAAGAGAGTGCCACGCTCTTTGCACGTTAAGAACCCTTGCAACAACTCTTTGAGGGGTCCGTAGGTGACCTGTTGCAAGGCTAAATTTCTGTCCCTATCCAATATACCCTCATTTCCCGTGGCAGTCTAAATTTCTCCGACCTTAATCCCTTAATCTATTACAGAACCTACCTATTGTATTTATTGTGAACTTGTTCTCGTCCTGAATATGCATGAAATATTTGCCACTGGACGTTAAGCAACCAACAATCAATCAATCTAAATTTCCATATAAAGTTGATTTGTTGTCGCACATGAAATTTAAGCGTTTATCACACAATTGTTAATATTGTCTTTAGTCTGAATACGGAATACAACTGATACAGATCATGACAATTAATTAAGTTAGATTGATAATCAGTAATTGATAGTAAAGAAAACAAAAATAAATATAAGTTATTGTGAATGACTATATACACAAACAGATCCGAGTCCGAATAAACTCATTGTCTGAAAGATTTATTCATGTTTATTTTCGTTCTATTTTACGTCAAAAAGAAAAGTATCATGATCATTACATACAAGCAGAATTTTATCTTTTTTGTCAAAATAAATTCCCCACGGCTTGTTCAATCCATCTGATTCAGTAAAAAGTTCTCTTTGATGTTGACCATCATCAGATACAATTACTACAGTGTCGGTCTTACATCTAGTCACATAAACATTCCCCTCGTCATCTGTTGTCACAGCACGTAAATCTTGAAATTTATCCTTTTTAAAATTCCAAATTAGTTTCCCATCTAACGAGCAGCAGTATATTGATGAATCGTCTATACAGACCAACCTGTCTCTGTCTACTGTAATGTCCCAGATATCGTATGAAGGTGCCGGTATAGTACGTATTACTTTACCTGTCAGGTCCATCACATGTATTATACTCCTATCAATAACAACGTACAGGTTATTATCATTATATGATATTCCGTAGCAGTTATCACTGGTGTTGATTGTACTGGTGACAGAACCTGTAGATATATTTATTATCAGTATGGTTCTGGCATGTCCACAGGATACTGCTACAGTATTAATATTTACCACTGTCATATAAAATGGTTGATAGGACAGATGAATGTGATGGATATAAGTACCGTCTGAATTACAAATAATAAGTCGGTTATTCCTGTAGTCGGTAAAGACTAATGTATTGTCTATTTTGGTACAGCTAAATATGGTCGGATTTTTATTCTTAGACTTTTTAATATTAAACTGTTGACGTAAAGTGACAGAAACAGGAAGGTTGGTTTTGACAGATGTTTGATCCTGAGTGAATGCTTCTTCTTTGTTTGGTTCATTTTCTGAAAATAAATAATGAAGTATCGAGTTGGTTATTACAACAATTGATTTTTTAATCTATAATGCAATTTACTGCTAAAAGTGATTGAATGTTGTAATATTTCTTATGTTTTGCAAACTATATAATTATGTAATATTGAATTTTTCACAACCTAAAATTTTCTCTCAGATGTTAACGATTTATTTGAGTTTTTTTTCACCTTGAACAAATCGAGCTCAGCATGATCCTACAACAGCATATAATCCAAGAAAGATAGAAAAAGTGTATAAATGACATTGAAAAACTTTTATGTGTAGAGCATACATGTAGTATTGTACTGGACATACCAATGCAGTGGGAGCAGATATTTGTTAGACCTACCGATTTAAAATCATGTGCAAGATGGAAAAAAATGTATGTTTATGCGTCCGTTGTCCCTATCCCGGGGGAAGGGATCTCTTTCTATATGAAGTTATACACATACGTGTCAAATATATCAGCGAGTTGCCATTTCACTTAGGTAAAATGTCAATAGGTCAATATTTTTTATCTTTCGATTGAATATCTGTATAAATGTTTTTACCGCTATTAAATAAAGTTAAGATATAAAAAAATCCACTGATAACTAAGAAATATATGAAGGGGTTATAAATTTGTCCTGAAATATTTTCATTGGCCGTGTTTTTCACGAAACTACAATATATGAGTGGGTTTTTTTGAAACACCAGCTGCGCTGTACGTCTGTACCCCAGTGCCATGTTGATTCATCTCCCCCCAGTGGTCCTTACTATCTTGAACTTTATTGATTATATGGTGTATTTGTAAAGAAAACAAGCATCCAAATTTAATGAATAAAGTAAAACCACATCGGCGATGTTGGCTAGTAGAGCGGTGTTTTACAATAGGAATTTTATATTATATCACTGTACAGAACTTGTTGTTTAAATGTGTTCTTAATTTGTTCTCTTTGAAAATGATTGAAATATTTGCTACTGAACGTAAACCATACCACAATTAATCAATTGATCTTTTATTACCTAAATAGTCTTAAAACATGTCTCGACGGATTGTGGTGGCCCATGTTTAGTTTCATTAAAATTATTCTTCATGGATTAAACTGATTTTTTTATGATAGGGTGACAAATTAATATTATAATTTTAAGTACTTGATGTCTTTTCGTTACAAAATTTCCTGGTATTGAGAAAGTTTTCCAAGGGACCCCCTACTACCCAGGATAGAGAAATGAGTAAAAAAGGGACTTCACGTAGTTCCGAGGGATGTATTAATACGCATCCACGTCAGATCAGAATAGGGCGTTGAATAAGAATTAGGGTAATAACTCGCTTTCTACAGTTTTACATTACAACTTTTATGGGGTTTCTTATTCCTTAAGCAGAATGTTTAACCCCATGTAACATGTCTTCGAAGTTTTAAGCTGTCAAAATCCCCAATACCCCGTCCTTCATACCAGTCCTAGACTATTTAATTGGTTCCTAAATTGTGTTTTTTGTGGTCTTTTTATTCAAAACACTCTGTCGTTATCGCTGATTGTAATGTTATTTGGTAACTTAGAGATGAAATGCAATATAACAAGATTTAGATGAGCATGTTTTCTATTGGTTTATATGCAATTTTTTGTTAAACCATGAAATCATATATACCAAGTCCACGATAATTGGTACCCACGAAAGTAAATAATCCACAGTACTCATTATTACTCCCCCCAAAAGGGTGACTGGGCAATAGAAATACGGTCACCATTGGTCTTCCTCCAGAGGTGGCCTGTTGAAAGGCTAAATTTCTGTCCCTATCCAATATACACTTATTTTCCGTGGCCGTCCAAATTTACCCAACCTTCATCCCGGACGACCTCTTTTACAGGACCTACCTTTTGTATTTATTGTTCATTTGTTTTCGTCAAGAACATGTATGAAATTTTTGCAACTGGGCGTTAAGAAACCATTAATCAACAATCATTTATTATAACTCAATTTTAAATGTTCAAATTTCATTTTTTTTTTAAAGGAATAACCGGACTTTCACTGTTTTTGTCAGTTTTATTTGTGACCATTCCAACAAACAATAAGCTTTCCTGATTGGTTGCTTAACGTCCAGTGGCAAATATTTCATGCATATTCAGGACAAGAACAAATTTACAATAAATACAATAGTTAGGTTCTGTAATTAAAACGTCCAGGATTAAGGTCGGAGGAATTTAGACTGCCACGGGAAATGAGAGTATATTGGATAGGGGCAGAAGTTTAGCCGTGCAACAGGTCACCTATGGACCCCAAGCTTTTCTGAAAAATGGTACTAGTATGTTTTATAGGTCTTACGCAAATATGTTTAATCTGAACAAGTCTTCTTGCCTGTATGAGGTCATAAAACTTTGATTATTAAAATTTAAAGACTATTCAGTCAAGTTTTAGGCTTCTGAAAATTTTATTTGATGAAAGCCGTACGCGTATTATTACCAAGTAATATTTGTTTGTCATTGGGTTCCTATTTTGTTGACAATTGTTTAGAGATAATCAGAAAGTTATCCACTGTACCAAATTTATCATGTAAGTCTTAACAAGAACCCCAAAGGTGACTTGGGAATAGAAGGAATTGTACCGGCAGTACAACCCTTACCACAGTTAGGCGTGATGGCTTTGCGGGATGTACAAGGACGCAGCAACGTCCAGTCAGGAAGAGGACGTTTAATCCGATGCCTAATGTAGAGACTGCCATGCTCTCTGCACGGTAAGACATCTTGCTAAAAATCTCTAAAGGGTCCGAATGTGGCCTATTGTAAGACAACATGTCTGTCCGTATTTAATATACACTCTTCCCCCAGTGGCAGTCAATTTCCCACGACTTTCATCTAAATCGTCCTCTATTACAGATCTACCTATTGTATTTATTGTTTAAATGTTCTCGTTCTGAACATGCATGACATATTTGACATTGGACATTTGGCAAACAACAATCAATCAACTTTGTCCGAAGGAGTTGGAACCTTTAAAATTTTAAGAAAAAATGTTGTGAATGATCTCTACAGTAAAACACTGCCCACTGAGCTTGGGGGAATACTCAGTATTCTCTGCAACATTGGTGTCAACCCAGTGCCGGTAAATAAAAATACCACTTAACTAGTGCTTTTCTTGATTGCCATTTATCTGGTTTTGATCTTACTTTTGATTCCCATTGTCCTTTTTTGTCAACTCATCATCGTTTTTATTAGGTTTCGCCAGAAACATCACACAGAAGAAACCTTAATTACCGAAATGCGCAAGTAAACATGATAGATAAATGTCCATAAATATACATCTGTATTTTTTAAAACCGATTCACTGTTCTATATCAGAACGGAATATGTATGATAAGACCACTTCCCCACCTTCAATTCAAAAACTAAAAAGGTAATATAATTCTAACAAACAACCTTGGGAGATTCATAAGACATTAGTCTGTTTGACATCAGTATTTATTTGTCTGATTGATTGTAGGTTGGATAGGGACAACAATGTTTGCCATACAACAGGCCACCTTTGGACCCCTCAAAGAGTTGTTGCAAGGGTTCTTCACGTACAGAGAGCTTGGCACACGAGGCATCGGATTGAACGTGCCCATTCTGACCAGATGTGGCTGCGTACTTGTAAATCCCGCACAGCCAAACGGACGCCCAACTTTGGCAAGGGTTTTTTGACGGTCGGAAAAAGACCTGAAGTGACGTTATTTCTATTCTCCAGTCATCCTTGGGGTTTTTTTTTATCTGAAGTTTGTCTCCTCTATTGACATAACATTTAGTGAAAAACTGCAAAAATTTTGGATTTTGTCATAAATATTTTAATATTAGCAACAGCAGAAAAATATTTTGCTACTAAATGTATTTAACAAATAAGCTCTGTGTGTAAAACTTCTTTTTTTGTAAAGCTGTTGTTCATATATATATTGACTAAAAACTATGTGTTACATGGGCAGATTAAGTCCAAAAGGTAATTTTCGACAAGTTTATAATGTCATAGTGACATCACAAGTGACCTTGCTGCAGTTAAATTTCCAGATAATATTAGCATGTTCATTTATAAATAAAAATGACATAATTCCGAGAAGTTTTACTATTTGGGCATATGCATGGTTCTTATGATGACTTAACAAACCTCTTAATGCCTGGATTAATCTTAAGTAAATTGTCTCCTTACTTTACGTCATGGTGAACCATTAACTTGAGAGAGGACGTAACATAACCCTGCATGTAATCAAAGTAATGCTGTATTTGTGAAATAATTATTAATTTGTAGAACTTTAAAAGTCTGTTGAATTGAGGTTTTCTACTTCTGAATATAGAGTGGTAGATATTGAAAACACGACTAGGAAGTTATTCCGCCAATATATATCTGTTCTTAAAAATGAAACCGGTTAACAGATAAAGAAAGATGCGAATGGAAAATATAAAGACAGTGCTATTACTTGGAATAAGTTCATCCTCCCTCGTGCTTATTTCAGCTCTGTCATCAGAAATCTTTTCAACCTGAAGACGAAAAAGAAAAACCTTTAACGGAATACAAACCATCACAATTATAATGTAGCTAAATAGTACAATGTGTTCTACTGTACATAAAACACGTATGATAATTGAAGAACGAGAACAATAAGGAAGGTACACAAAATATAGCTTGTATTATTTAAAATATCTACATTTGAATTCTCGTCTTTCAGTTTTGCTTATGTATTTTCTACATGCAGTTTTGTGTTAAATAGTTTGTTTTTATTGTGATTAAGATTATACTACAATGTTGACTGCTGTACCCTGTTTTTAACATTTTTAACCATTATGTCTGTTTGTTTTGCTCACACATTGTTGTCAATATAATGGAATTTAATATGACTGTCATACAAGTGGGAGGTTTTGCTACCTTTAAAACCAGGTTTATCCCACGATTTTCTACAAAAGGAAATGCATGTACCAAGTCAAAAATATGACAGTTGTTTCCATTCGTTAGATGTGTATGAGCTTTTGATTTTGCCATTTTACGGAGGAATTTCCTATGGAGTTCGGTATTTTTGTTATTTTACTTTTTATACATACTTTTTACAAATATCTACATTAAACCATCAAACTTAAAATGAAGATCTTCGACTGATAGGTCAAATCAATATATGTCTAAATAATTGATTGATTGGTGTTTCAAGACTATTGTTTTTTTAGGTGGTCACTGTATATTGAAGGAGGAAGACCGGATGCCCGGAGAGAACAACCGACCTTCGGTCAGAAAACTGATATTCCTAGTCAATTAAGGAATAAATAATAGCATGAGAGTATGCATAATAATGTTATATTTATTCATATAAGCATATTTTTGTCCCTTGAAATAAAGTATCAGAATGTAAAAGATGTTCCGAAAGATTGCTAAGGTAAGCTGTACAACATACTTTTTTTTAATAAACGCTTGAACGATTGTACGCGCGCGATGTTGACAGCGGTTACGTTTAGTTACCAATCTTGGGTACTGTATATGTCTTTGATATTAAAGAATCTATTTTTTGTCCCCCGCGTAACAAGTTCTAAAATGGTGGCCGATCGACTTTTTTTAAAAGAGGTTTGCCCCTTGAAAATATTAAATTTATGGAAAATGGCCTCGTTAGCGCTTCCAAGTGTATATTTCTTGCCAGATTTTTATAAAACTTTTACTATAGGTTAATATCAGCAATATCTCGGATAAGTTCTATAATGGAGGGAGATCGACTATTCTTGAAAATATAAAATATGTGCAACACGGGGGAAACTGAAACTCTGTTCTTTTATTTATTTAAGATTGCTTCCCGTGTAAAGAACTTCTTCAATCTCATAGCAAAAATATGTTCGTAAAACTGAAATTTTGTCTAATGATTTGGAATATCTTAAATTAAAAGGGAGTTCTTTTGATAAACCAATTTTTAAAAAAATCGATATCGCGATCGCAAAAAAATTACTGAAGCACTGTAAAAAGGTATTCAAGTATAACAGAAATAAAATTCAACAATATAAAAAATGAAATGATTAAATTAATAATCCATGTTAAGCTTACTAACACAGATACAAAATGGAAGATAGCTCGGTCTGTCAATAAAAAGTGATGTAATAAACAAGAAAAATCTTGTAGAATAAAACAAATCAAACAGTAATAATGACTCAACATGTTAATATTCTCCATATTTTCATTCTTTGTACCCCTTTGTTTTTCTATTTTCCTTTAAGAATATACAATGATGAGGAACGGACATATAATTTACATTTAGCATCCTGTATTTATATCAAACTACAGTTAATGAGTTCCATTGAAATTAGTGATTAATTCGTTCTTCGTTAAGACAAACAAAGAAGGTGTATGTTTATAAAAAAAAATCATGACTGATTGCAGTTTACAGTGGATGATTTTAAATAGAAGAGGAAATAAGGTCACTCTTTAACAAATGAAGAAAATGAATGAATCATTTCGTACAAAAATCACCAATACACAGTGGCAGTATATCATTTCTGTGCATAGACGATCTAATTGAAATTCTTAACCATGTTAACATTATGTTAACATTGATAAGAACTTTTTTCCTGTATCACATTTGGTGAAAAACAAACTCCTACTAAGGTAAAAACAATTCAAATGCAAACATAATGATTTTCATTAGAAAGAAGAAATACTGTTACTCTTTAACAATGGAAAAAACCAAGAGGCTTTCAGATTGACAGCTAACCTGATTTTCCTGCATGAACATGATATTTGCGAATCAGCATCCCCAAACAAGATCCAGTAAAAAAAATGATCAGAAATGAAAAGGCCAAATCAATCTTGACCTATTTAATTTAAGAGAGTTTTTCGCTACTTAAAGGTCTACAACTCAACAAAGATACAAAAAAAAATCATGTTTTATTTAAAGTTAAGAACAAACTATTGCACTTTTAATCAACAAAATAAAATAAAATGTCAATTAAATATACTCTGATATTTATTCAGTTTATGACTGACAGCCAATCCTGAGATACAAACTATACTCGTATAAACTTAAGGTGATACATAACAAAACAGGGAGATACCTCTATAACAACAGCTGATCAAATTATATTGTTAAGGAAATATTAGGCTTCTCAGTTATCAAAATTAGTGTTTGTCAAACTGCTATATATCCATTGAATTTTTCCCGATAATGTTTGTGGTTCAAATGTTTTGAAATTTCTATATTTTTGTCAAAGGCTTAAAGTAAATATTTTGTCATAATTTTATGAAAATTAAACGAGCCAAATTAATTTTAGTCAAGGTGGGTGAATTAAGATTAGTTTAAAACAATGACCTGTAACAAGTTTGAATGTGTCATTAAACATATTTAAGACATGCTATGTTAGTTTACATGTTTACCAATATTGAGAATGAGAAAGAGAGGATATGATCAAAACCTATTATATTTATTCATATTCCATATACTATAACTTGATTATACAGATAATGGTCTTTATTTGTTATTAATACATGTAATACTTAAATCCACTCTCTATTAATTCAAGCCAACAAAAAGCAACCTCAATTTACGAAAATACAAGCAAATCAATAAAATACCAGAACAACAAACCCTACTTACTATGTCAGCATGTTGTAACCAGGTTTTCTCTACGTCGTCCTTACTATGTATATCATTATGTTCAGGACACAAGTAGTGTCCATTTTCACACTTTTCATCTAGTTCTTTAAAGGTCATTCTGCCTTCTTTGTTAGAGTAGTCACCATTGCTGCATTTTGCTTTTATGTCGTAAGATATGCTCTGTCTTAATTTTTTCTTTAACTCTTCAATCTTTTTACATAGCTCTTCTAAAATAGTGCTATATATGTTATCCTCTACATCAGCTAATTTCCATACCTGGAAGGCTATGGCATTCTTTGAGAAACAGATACATAACTTTCTGAGACCAGTTTTATCTAAATTGACCAATGTCTTTCCTCTAAATAAAATTTTCCGCCCCGCTTTCTCACAGACTGTATATCTTGTAATATAATAAAATAGAATGTGATTGAAATAACCAAGGGGGAGAAATTTAAATTATCAACCATGGTGAAAAACTAAATTTACACTTTTCACCTTCGAACATTTTCTGAATAATATCGAGAGAAGTCGATTGCTGTGTAATCATGCATGGCATATAGTATGAATTTGGTATTAGACTCGAATCGTCGTTGGTATCTATAAACTTGGGTTTTACTAAAATATCAAATTTTTCCATCACATTAAGTATGTGAGTTTTGTATTTTCCAAACTCTAAGTCGGGTTCTTTTTCAAAAAGCCTATCAATAATGTTATCTGATAACTGTCCTGTCTTTATCAGATTTTTCCAGTCAGCCAATTTTACTATTTCAATATTTCGTTTGAGTGGATGGTTATCACATACTAGGCACCTGAAACACTTAACTAACCAATCTGGCTGTAAAATGATATATTCCTTTATTTCTGGGAAAAAAATTATGTTCCCGATTTTATGCTGGTAAGATAGGAAAGAAAGAAGTTCTTTTTCTTCGGTGAAAGTGGTTTGGGCTAATTCCACAATATTCTGCCATGCCAATATATTCTGTTTCGAGTCCTTCATCACGTTTAATGCATTTTCTAGTTGAATCCACTGCGTCGGAAGATTCTCGGCAAAAAACCTCATTTCTTTTGCAACTTCTGAAATTTTGTTTTTCAATTTTGTAATCATGTCGTTTTTAAGAAAATCTGTGTTAGAAATAAAGAAGATGCCTCTATTGTGATTAGCTTTATCTTGATCTCCAAAAATTTCTTTAAATCTTTCGATATATTCTTGTTTCCTATCTTCAACCTGAAATAAAAAACGAAACAGGAATTAAAATACTTTTGTCAAACTATAAAACCTTTATACATGTTATAACAATGTTACAAATAGTACTGTAATATGTTCGTGATCTAAACATCTTATAACCAGTACAATTCGAATTAACAGACATTAGTTTCTTTGACAAATATTTACTTTGAACTCTTTAAATCCTTTTACATGTACAATCTTGCAAACATACATAACGCCTAATACCAACATGCAAAACACATCCAGGAAGACGCAGGAATCTACATGCTCATGCAAATTATATTGCAATATTTTAATTGTATCGTTAATGGTTATGTTTTAAAATTTTGCTTTGTATCTCTGTATTCTGAATCTCCAAATACTAGTGTTCATGTATAGTACAACAGACTGGCCAAGCAGACATAAATGAAACATACTGGTTTTCATACCACATCTTATCTTGATATGCGTGATGGCATACAAGTTGTAATTTTAAAATGTCTTCCTTTATTTCTTGTCGTTCATGGTTGGTGTTGATTTTTCCTCTTTTTAAAAATGTTTACCACAAAAAAAAATAATGTTGGTAAGTAAAATCTATCTATTCAACCTATATAAAGGCAACAGTAGTATACCGCTGTTCAAAAGTCATAAATCGATTGAGAGAAAACAAATCCGGGTTACAAACTTAAAACCGAGGGAAACACATCAACTATAAGAGGAAAGCAACGAAACAACAGAAACACTAAAGTCAAACAAAAACAATCGCCAACATACATAAAAACGGATTCATTGAAAGTCATAAACGATGAAGAAAAAATGATTATTTCAAATTGTTTTCATTTAAAAAGTTCAATCATTCATATTTGCGTCGGTGTTTGATTAACATGATAAAGACTTTAACCTTGAATATTTCTGGAACATTGCTCAGGTTAGGCACAGTTTAATGGTGACTTTAAGACGCAATAAACTCATTTTTTTTTTGGCAAATTATATTATGTATTTTCTGATGTTTATGTTGTAATTAAAAATTGGTAGCAATTTAAAACAAAATGAAAATACCATTTTATAACTTTTATGCGTCAAGCGCTTTTCTTGATTAACCTTTATTAGGAACGCTCAAAGCAAATATTTGAATGCCAAGGGTGTATTAGAACCGAAATATTATGAACAAAAAAAGGATCTTAAAGAAAATCTAAATCTATCTTAGGTCATCTTTGTATGAGGGACTTGAAACCATCTATGTCAGTCTATATCTAAATAAATTTGATATTTAAGTTGTATATCTAAATAAATTTGATATTTAAGTTGAACATCTAACAATTCATGACTTTATAATATTTCATCGGTCCTTTACACAATTTAAACAGTATTTATGACATTCGGTTTGATTTCGTCCTAACGTGATCTGGTCAGGTCTGAGTTGTAGGTTACAACATTTGTAGGATAATCGGTCTTGTTTATCTTGACATTACTGGATAGACTGAAGTGTCCGCAGTCACTTTTGGTCGGAACAGTGTTTAAATGTGACGGAAATTCAGTCGATTAAGACTTAATCAGACCAAAATGACTGTTTCAGACTGAAATCTGGCTACTAGTGCCATTACGAACTGGGAGTGAAGTCAGATGCTCTGAAAAGGGTAGACGGTACCAGCTGGACGCGTCGTGTTCTTCATCAGAATATAAAATAAAATCTTAAATCTCAAAAGATAATGTCAATCAAATAAAAGAGGACGGGATTGTGGTTACGACAAGTTGAAGACATCTGGACATCTTTTATTCAATGACAGTCAACCAAGTCATGATTGCGTCTTTCACACTCTTGAAAGAATGATAATATATACAACAATATATATGCTACTTTTCCAAATTTGCTGCAACTGCATGTTATTCTTCTCTGATTCTACTCACAAAGTACCAACTCACTTCCACTTTATTTATTAAACACTTTATATTTCTCTAATTTTTGTCCTATTTTCACATTTCTTGATCGCTGTGAAAAAAATATTTCTCCTCACTAGTGAAAAATCTGTTCTCGGCAAATGATTGGTCTAAATTTAATTATGACGTCAAACTTTCTTGGTTTCTTCTGAGTTTTCTATTGTGACGTCATGAAAAAGGTGACCATGCCTGATGACGTCACATATAAAGAACACACCTTCCTGCAAATCTTTGAAAAGGAAGGATAAACATCATTAGAGAAACATATTCCACCACTAACTGGTGTATTACGATATTTCTCTACTCTCCACAGTTAAGTTTTAATTATTAAAAAGCTGGGCAAGCCTCGCGCTTTAAATATTAACATTTAACTGTTGAAATTTGAGAAATATCGTAACATACTTGTTGCAGTGATGGAATCTATATATAAAGTGAAATTTATTCTGCTCCTTTTAGAAAATATCACTGATTTAAACAAACAAAAAATGTCTCGTTCAAAAGCACGACATTATTCCATCAACTTAACTCAAAATAATAAGTTAAACTTCACTAAGTTCATGATGTGATTTGGTAACAAGACAGTGGCAGACATTGGGAAAAGGATAAAATTAATAATTTACAGATCAGACGACTACTTTGGTAATAAAAGATCGAAGACCCCTAAAATATATTACTAACGCCTCAAAGGATGTAAAAGACGATTCTCATATTAAATACATAAACGGGCGTCTTTGATAATACTATTTTGGATAATTCTAAATCTTCTGTTGAAAATGTCACAATTACATATATGATAATGATAATTTAAATCTTTCAAACATGGCTGCCACTGTTATTAAAAAATAGAACGTTTAACCCCAAAAAATCAGTCAATAATCCTTCGACGGAACAATTGCTATGAAACGGTGCTTAAAAAATACATTAATGGTTTTTGTTTTAAATTATAATTAAATACCCAACCAAGCTTCAAATCTGGTTGTTTATCATATTTATGTCACTAAATTGAGTTTTCTCCGAATCACAAGAAAAGTACAATTAATCAAACAAAGATTAAAAAAAAAACATGTGGAAACAAGTTTCAATCAAATTTGTCCCGTGGTCCATTTAAAGCTCATATCGCATTCCAGTTAAATGGAAGCCAAGACATTTTAACACCTGCAGGAAGTTTCTCTTATTCTAATGACTGTTGAATATGAAAAAAAAAATTGTATGATAATCGATTATAACGCCAATTGTTTGCTTTGGAACCCAACAATATTTATGAATGGAGAGTGACCAACTGTTACAGGTGCAGATTTCGTTGAGCGATATGGTCTCTTTTGAGCTTTAATTTGTTTGTTTGTTATTTATAAAGAGAGTGACCAACTGTTACAGGTGCAGATTTCGTTGAGCGATATGGTCTCTTTTGAGCTTTAATTTGTTTGTTTGTTATTTATAAAGATTATTCCAAATGGGATGTACTTATTCCTTGAAATAGACGCCAATAAGTTGTATATTTATTTCGTTAATTACAATGTACCTCTGAATTCATGGAATTATTTTCTACTGGATGGATTATCTTCTACCTCGTTTTTTTTGTGTGTCACTAAAGTAAAACAAACTAAAAGAGGTCATGACACCTTTATACGTATTTAAGTTATCAACAAAGGATAAATTGTAAACATGTGAATTGTAGCAAACGCGCAAGAAGCAAAATGAAACATTATTTATTGGAAAAAACTAGAAAATTTCTTTAACAAAAATAACGCGAATAGAAAAAAAGAAGATATTTCCATTATACTATGAAAACTCGTGTCATTTAGGTACATATGGTCTCTCACAATAATTGCTAAACATAATACCGTGAGGTGAATAAGAAGGTCTTGATTGCACGCCTTGGAATTATGACAGATAGTGAAAATATCAAATACCAAAAAAAAGGTTAAAACAAATTAGTCAATCTTACTCATTTTGATGTTGAAAGTATTAATTCATATTTCTGTTCTTGATAAATTGTAATTGTATTATGTTTTCTCGTATATTTACTTTTTATGTTTGTTTTTATATTTTGTATTCGCTATTATTTGATACTCAATTGTAACACAAATTTAAAAAAGAACAGAAAGTTTTCATTGTTTACATTATTTAAATCGATGCATCTTATCTTTTAGGTTAAAAAAATGCATACACAATTATCGACAATTACACAGTATATATATAAACAGTTTTATTATTAAATCAAAATATTGATTGTGAAAATGTTGAAACTGTTGAAATCACTCCGTTAAATGTTAAGAAATGTTGAAAGTTATAAATAAATAAACAAATTAAATTACTTTCAAATCTCTGTTAAAGTTTTTCACTGGTGCAGAGTACGAAAGGCTGAAAATATCAATATGGAACTTTCCCAAAAACTCCAGCGTGGTAATACTGTTGTGTTTGGGAAATATCTTGAAATTAAGTCCTCAACAACTCTTTAACATGTAACATGCTGTATTAAGCAAGTATCTCCATCACCGGGACCTAATATAGCAGTGTTTCGTTGACTACTACATGTTTGTTTCATCAATAAAAAAAACCCGTGTTATTACGAACAAACAATAAAGAGGAGAACGTTTCAGTAGTCTAAACATCGCTAATAATGCGCTCCAGATACTCCAGACACACTATAACCATGGTGTATGCAAATTGGTCAAATATGTTAAATCACTGGATACTTTCACTTTTCCGCAAGTTTATATAACATATCCGGATGAAGGGTTAAATATCTTACAGAATGCACCTGGACAGCTTACCTATCAGTTTTGTTAAGGACAGATAATTGTACATTTTATGAATAAATCTTATCCGTCGAACAATAAAGACAGCATATAAATAAGATGATGTACACAAAAAATGTATCGTGAAATGACTTTTATGTTTTAATTACGAATATTTTTTTGAATAAAACTCATACCTGAAAGCGAACCGCCCACTCCCCTCCGCTTTAAAAGGCTCTGCAAGTATGCATAGTCAATGCATATGACTAGTAAAAGATATAGAGGAGTATAATACTTTCAATGCATGTTTCATTTTATTATATAGTAGTATGGTTCATCAGA